GACTGTTGGAACATATGTCAGGCAGATGCCTCTGTCAAACCCAGGTTTCCAGTCTCTCCTGAAGCCCAAGCCGTGGAGGGGAGGCAGCATGCTTACAGCAACCACAGCCAAATACTGGGCCATGACCATGTTGTCACCAAGAACATGAATGAGGCATTGTAGATTGTTACGTGTGAGAAAAAGATGGAAATTGCTGCTTTAAAACTGGAACACCTAAGGATAAATTTAGGCTACCTCTGTGGTGAACTGAGGTTAAGATTAAGGCTCCATCATGAAGATACCCTCTAAAATAGATAACATGACAACCTACAATGTATTATATTAACCTAACCAACTGTGGTTTATTTAATAAACATAGTTATATAACATAGTTTAGTGTGATGCATGAATTCAGATATTAGTAGAATCTCCATACTGGAGATGAAGGAATTGTATTGTAGATGTTTACAAGGGGGCATAGGGGAACAAATGACAAAATGTGTCTTGTGACATTATGATGCACACTCCACTCCCTTTGTGTTGTCATATCACATATAGGTAAGTAAAGGGTATACAATCTGCCATTTTGATGAAACTGCTGCTGCCACAGTTGTCAGTGGTTGTAGTTGCACCTTGCATAAGACCATTTAGTAGATTATGAAAGGATGTGAATTGGAGACTTCTTGACTTGTATCAATATAAATTTCACAAAAACATATTAAGGACTTTGGAAAAATTATGTTTGCCATTTCCAATATCCCTGAACCTATATTTATAGCACTTGTTCACTAAACACTTGAATTATTTTCCTGTTGTTGTTATTAGTACTATTATTATTAGCCTTTGCTAAACCTTTGGTTTTTTAACCTTTGCCATAAAGAAAATCTGACACTGCAGAAATACAGGTTGCAGCATTTTCCATTATCTTTAAATAAGCAAACGTCTCTTGGAAAATAATTTAATCATTGGAGCCATAGGCTGTTATATTAAAATTTTATATCTGAGAGAGAGAGAGAGAGAGAGAGAGAGAGATCTCAGATATAAAATTTTAATAGAACAGCCTATGGCTCCAATGATTAAATTCTTTTTCAAGAGACATTTGCTTATTAACAAATATATATATGTTGCATGCACAATTTTACTTAGGATGGCTTTTAAATTATATCATAGTTTTTTCTCTTGAGAGCTCTAGACATCCTCCTTAGGGGTCTCCTCTAATTTTTCCCCATAGAAATCCTGTGAGGTAAATTGAACGGAGGGAAGATGATTGGCTGAAACTCACCCTGAGTGGGGACCTGGTCCTGGATCTTCTTGGATTAATAAGTCCAACATTAACCATGACTCCAGGCTGTTACTTTAATAGCAAATAAATGAAAGAGCCTTGATTCTCTGCTATTCTCTGAAGTTGGGCATGTTATGCTTTGAGCTAGACAGAAAGTATTTCTTTGAACAGGCTATTTGTGAATATGATATATATAAACTGAAGAGTTGTGTGTTGGTTTGTGAACTTTCAGGGATATGTGGCTACATCCTTAGTAGGCAGTTCTCACATTTTTCTCTTTTGGAGCCTCCAAATAGTGCATAAAAGGACTAGTGAAATTTGTCAAGGGGGAACCAGCATAGCTGTAGGTTTGTCAGGCACAACTTAAATTATGCAAAATCACTTTAGCTAGAACATCAGTGGGGAAGGGCATCCATATTTGTCTTTTCATATGTGAACAAAGTTGCCAAGAATCTCAACTGGAAATATTTAGAAATCTGGTCTATGCCTACTTATTTTATAAGCTTATATTTCATATGCTTTTCCCTATTTTAAAATAGGGTAAAATTACCATCTTGGCTGAGCTCAAAAGCCTTTGGAGGTTGGGATGCCTAGAACATGGATGGGAAACTACCAGAAAAAGGCTGTTGGCTAGACCAGGATGAAAGAATGGGAAGGGAAGGGAAGGGAAGGGAAGGGAAGGGAAGGGAAGGGAAGGGAAGGGAA